GGGGGGGGGGGGGGGGGGGGGGGTACCAAGTCGGATAATGCTCGAAGAATGCGCATTTCCTGCGGACCGAATCAATTGTGCATGTCCAATCGTTCAGCACTGGGCCTTTTATGAAACCCAATGTTTTCATTGTCGGTTAGTACTTGCATTTGTGCACAGTCGTTGCGTTGAAGGAGATCATGGTACAACGAAATAGCGATGATATCGCGGGGAGGGGGGCTGAGTGTGCCTTAAGTACTGATCCGAAGTCTGTGATTCTGGTGAAAATCTCGTTGAATGGGGGATTGGGCGCATTTCTGCGTAGATTTGTAATTTACAATCGATAAATCTTGAGGTGAACGTCGATACGGAGGGAATCTGTTTTGAAGATACTACTTTGTCATGGTACGGTAACACACCATCAGATGATTAGTTATGTGCTGTCGGTCAGGTAGAAATCTACCATTTCTGCAGTCGGTCATTATTTAGTGTTATTTTTTGGTGGCGGTTAGAGCTTGCATTTGTGCACAGTCGGTGGGTTGACGGTGTGATCACAGCGGGGGAAGGGCGGTTGAGTGTTGCTCAGGTACTGATTCGAAATCTATGATTCTGGTGAAAATCTCGTTGAATGGGGGATTGGGCGCATTTCTGCGTAGATTTGTAATTTACGATCGATAAATCTTGAGGTGAATGTCGATACGGAGGGCATCTGTTTTGAAGATACTACTTTGTCATGGTACGGTAACATACCATCAGATGATTAGTTATGTGCTGTCGGTCAGGTAGAAATCTACCATTTCTGCAGTCGGTCATTACTTACGTATTATTTTTTGGTGTCCGTTAGTACTTGCATTTGTGTATAATCTCTGGGTTGACGGAATTGCGATAGCGGGCGGAGTGCGGTCGAGTGTTCCTCAGGTACTGATCCCAAGTCTATAATTCTGGTGACAGTCTCGTTGAATGAGGAATTGCGTATGTAGATTTTTAATTTAACGATCGATGAAGCTTGCGGTGAACGTCGATATGGACGGAACCTGTTTTAGAGATACTGTTTTGTCATGGTATGGTAACGTGGCGTCAGATGATTAGTTGTGGGCGGTTGGTCAGGTAGAATTCTACATTTTCTGCAGTCGGTCATTACTTACATGTTATGTAGAATGTTAATTTTCCATTGATAAATCTTGACACTCGTTCTCTCTCTCTTAGAATTCCTCGTTTTCTGCAGTCAGTCATTACTTACTGTTGACAATGATTGAATTTATTTATTTGAATTCTATTGGAAAATTCTACCACTTTTTTGTTTAATAGAAATTATTAGTTATTACCACTAACTTTCTTTCTTTTTTCTGCTAAATTTGGTAGAATAACCTGGCGAATTCGCAAGATTTTTCTCTGAATTTTTTTCATACGTGATGACAGATAACTATTCTGACAACTTCTGGTGCAGTCTTGCTGCACCAGTCAGAAAAGAATTGATTTGAATTGCAAATATTTCGGGAAATAAATCAGTGAATATTCCTAGACAACTTATTCTCTCGAAATTGTTTCTGCAGAAACCCCTTGGCTTGAATTTTTAAATGAAAGAACACAAAAAAATGCAGTGAAAAAGTCCTCAAAAATTAAAAATATCTTCTATAGAAAAATCAAAATCCTTCAATTTCATACTACTGAATGCTTTCGATTCTCCGAGCATGAAATGTAACTGAAAAATATCTCTATTTCGTCACTCATAGCCCGGAAATCGATTTAACTTTTTCTATTCAATTGTTTCTATATTTATACAGATACATGAAAATTTCATGATCTATTGATACTGAATGATACGATCCTGCGCAAAACAAACTTATCTGTTAAATTATCATTACTTCCCTGAAGAGTGTAGCACCTGCCTTAGCTACGGAACCTCTGAAACAAACAACACAGAATTTTGTACGTCGCGGAGCGAGTCATACGCTCTCCATTGTCAGGACACAAACATTCGTCCCTCCGCTCGAAGAAAATGGTAAATACATTGAAATTTACTAAAATAAAAAACACAAATTTTGCTAAAAATTCTGTTCTTGTCATTCATATCATCGACGATTGAGTAATTCACCCGTAATTTTTATTTTCACAATCCGGCTAAATTTTAATCGCACACTCACTAGATTATATATTCGCTCAACGATGCGACATAGTAATACAATCATTTGTGACTTCCAAACTTCATTGATTTTCCTAACAAGCACGTTGCATTGAAAACTTGGTAATGTAAAAAAGTTTGATCACCCGAGTGTAGCGATAAAACATTGAAGGAATCAATCGTGATTAAATTTTAAATTACAAGGGTAAGTGAATTCAATTAATCGATTGATTGCAGGGACTGCTCTCTATTCTTCGTAAATTACGGTCTAATCCAGACAGGGAGCTGCGACTGTTACTTCTTGGGCTGGACAATGCGGGGAAAACGACGATTTTGAAGTCACTGGCTAGTGAAGATATAACTCAGGTCAGTCATTGCGATGGAAGTTATTGAGGCCGTCGTGGAAATCGAGTCGACAGATTCTGTTAAATTTTCATTGCAATATCGAATTCTGTCAAATTGTGACATTAAATGCCTGACATGATTTTACATATTATGACATTTGATTTCTATCTGTTCAACAATGACATATCTAAAAATTGAAAAGTAAATTGAGAGAGATCCTATCATCTCTCTATATTATAACAATCCAAATCGACTTCCGGTGATGAAAATTTGATACTCGAAATTAAGACTCCCAAATTAAGGGTCAGAAAGTAAAGGTCACAAGGATGAAAAAAAATGGGTCACGATAGTTGTAATGAGGGTCACGAGGGTCGGATTAAGAGCCACAAGGGTCAGATTAAGGGTCACAGGGGTCAGTAAAGGTCTAAATAGGGATCGTGGGAAACAAAATAAGGGTTATGAGGATCTTCTGAAGTTATGTGGGGGTCACGCCGGGCGTCATGTGAACTAAGGCTCACAAGGATCACATAAAGAGTCACGAGAGTTATGATGAAGGTCAAAATGAGGGTCACGAGGGTCAGATTAAGGGTTACAAGGGTCATATGGAAGTCAAAATAAGGGTCATGAGGGTCACAAGGGGGTTTGCGAGTGGAGCGAGCAGGGGGCGCAGCCCCCTAGTACCAAAAAATAAACCCACTTTATTCTCTCCAGGTCACACCAACGCAAGGTTTCAATATCAAAAGCGTTCAAAGTGAAGGCTTCAAACTCAACGTTTGGGATATTGGAGGTGCTCGGAAAATCCGTCCCTACTGGAGAAATTACTTCGAAAACACTGATGTGCTTGTAAGTTTTTCCTAAACAGAAACGAAACAAAAATTTAATTTTTGTGAAAGATTAAATTTTCTTCTGCCAAGGTGGTCAATTTTTTTCAAGTAAACCCGTCCCACTCCATCAAATATTCTCACCTGGAACATCCAGTTTTTCTGAACTCATTATTTTCTTCAGATTTACGTAGTCGACAGTGCAGACTTGAAAAGGCTAGAGGAAACCGGACAAGAGCTATCCGAACTTTTACTAGAGGAGAAATTACGCGGAGTTCCGTTACTAGTTTACGCAAACAAGCAGGATCTTGGGAATGCGGTAACAGCTGCAGAAATCGCGGAAGGGTTAGGACTTCACAATATAAAGGACCGAGACTGGCAAATACAAGCGTGCATTGCGACCGAGGGAAAGGGTGTGAAGGTAACAAAATTCTCAGTATATTTCATAAAAGTTTTATTTACCACTAATATATAATTTTTATACCAACAATCATTGTAGGAGGGACTCGAATGGGCCTGCAAGAGCATTAAAAAAAAGTAATACCATCAATACGTAGAACTGAATTCAGCTAAGGATTGAAATAACGGATATAGAACATCTGGATAATTTTGTACATTTTACACGATACTCCATTTCGAATTCTATCTAATATTTACAAGACAATTATGAATATAATGTAAATATATTGCGGATGAATCAGAGTAATGCCTCTTAATAATGAAAACCACATCGTACTAAATCATTATTGCACCAAAGTTGAGACATTCAACGAAACCAATCTAGTCATTAATCTTTGATGTTGAATTCGAAGATTCACTCGGTTGATGGAATTCTCAATCATCATTCAATGTTTGATTTTTCTCCACATCTTCACCTCGATGGATAAGTATAAATCCGTCAGATAATAAAGAGCGTCGAATCTTTTGAGATAAAATGTGACATGAAGTGTATTTTCTCTACACCCATTAAATAACCGACAAATCGTCCAACATCTTTGACTTATTTCTCAGTACTGATACTGAATTTTTCCTTAACATCTATCATATGGAGGTACACAAGATGGTTAACATCGTTTTCAAACCATCCCGCCACATTTACCAAAATTAATGTAGTTCAATTGGAAAGTCTATGAAACGTTTTTGCAACATGTTTTTTATAATTCGTTGTGAATGGCTTCTGTTGTTACGCGAATCTCCTCTTCGTGGAAGTCGTTGCAGTCGACTGGGAATTTCTCCTGCAACGCCAATTGAGAAATTAGTATTATAGGAATTGTTGCAGGGAGTGTTGCGATTTTTTATGGATGATGAGACATTGAAAAAGGTTGGAAACTAATTTAATACGTGGCACGTGAGTCGGAGACGAGGCCGCCGAGTCGTAGACGAACGGTGCCTCGTGCGCCTGTACTCCACCAGCGTTGAATTCAGCACTCGACGCCGAAGCGCGTATACTATTTTTTATTGCGAAAAGCCCGTGGGGGTTGGGGGTGGGGGCGTGGAGCGTGGTCCAGGGGGCGCAGCCCCCGGCGGGGGGGGTGGGGGGGCGGAGCCCCCCCCCACTGAAGAAAAAACAAATTGCAAAAGAAAAAAAAAATCAAATGCATTTAAATTTCCCCGCCACAGCCGGGGAACAACAACTCCAAGAGAAGCCAACAAATCACCATCATCTCTCTGTAATCGTATTCCCCAACCTGTGATCAACGACATCTCACCAATTCCACTTCATGATGTCTCACCAGATCCTGCTCCAAATCTACAGTTGAATCAACTTCTACGTTCCCATCCAAATATCAATCTCAATTTTTACAATTGCTCAAATTTTAAAGTATTTGATAAAGAAAATAAGGAAAATAAGTGAATCTCGAGATCTTAGTTGAGATAGATGGGCATAACTGATTGTTTTGTTAGATTTTATTATTTAAACTATGAGTATTATTCTTGCGTTTACGTTGTAGTTTATTTCAGAGTTTCAATAAAAAATTTTCTATGAAATGATATTTCTAATATTATTATTATCAAAATTAAGATTTTTTAATAATTTATTTTTCATTTTAATTTTCAGGTGTATTTTCAAATTTAAAATTTAACAATTTTGAAGATAATGAAGGGGATTCACTGGCTGAATTTATCAGTTTTTATATGTAGTTTTATATTTTGGTACATTAACGCTGGGGTGGCGCCACACGTTTTTCAGTCCTAAGGAGTGCAATTCTCACTTTTTCACTCCTAAGTAGTGCATTTCTCACTTTTATACTGCTCAACGGTAAAAAGACCTACTTCTCATGCTTAACTACCGTCGGTAAAAGAGCCCTTTTTGGGCTTGAGCAATGAAAATACTATTAAATTCTAGACTTTCCGATCAACAAATTCGAATTTTTTCGGAATTTTCCGAACTATCGTTTACTTGTAAAAAAATACGGAAAAGGCGGGGAATCCCTCATAGGGTGAACAATCTACGGTTAATTGAACCCACCAATAGTTAGTTCTTATATGAACCCTCGAGCTAAAAATAGAAAAAAAAATCGCCATTTTCCTGAAATTTCGGACTTGGGTGGAGCTTTCAGTGAGGAACATAAAATAAATAATCCAAGTGCCCTAGGAGAATTGTTTACAAAGGATAATTAAAAAATTCATGAAAAATAGGAATTCTGCGTGCGCAACTTGGAATAGCGACACCGTCGAGGTTAGAAATCGTGGAGGGGTAAGCGCGGCAAATACGAATGGAGTAGTGGTGATACATTTCACTATCGGAAGGAACATAACAGCTGAGTGAATCAGTGCTGCCAACATGTACCTCGAACGGCACGCCGTTGTCACTTTTTCTATCCACATTAATTATTTTCCAATTATCCAAAAGACAAGCTATAAAAATAAAAGAAGGCTTGAACGATGTGGGAAAAAATAGAAAAGTTATTAAAAAAATATTTCGAACACAAAAATGGTCGAAGTAGATTGAAAATTTGTAATTGAAATATCGTTTTCTTTGTTCAGCGATTGGTTGTCTGCGAGAGAACCATAGATTCCCCTCCTTCTCACTTCCTACATGGCCACCCCGCCATAAATACTTGAAGTACCATGAGTAAGCAAAAATTAAAGTTTAGCATAAAATACGGAGCGAAATGTGTTGAATTCAACATGTTTCCCATTTCCTAAGATGTCCCATCATGTCTTAAAAGACGTTCCCCCCTCAATCGTCTCGATACATCAATAAAACAACCTCAGATACTCACAAAACATTGTTCACCCTCCTGAATAGCGCCGTAAAGTGTCCAAAAGTTGATGGATGTTTTAGTACTCAAAGTCCATGCTGCTGGATAACTACTAAGCTTAATGAGAGCACTCCTGAAGGCAGCTTCCTGACTGTCGTCATTCACGTTCTGGTTGATCACGCAGAAGATGTGAGTTGCGCATTGGGGGGACTTTAACGCCCATTTGTAAGCTCGGTATGTCTGCATAAAATCGAAAAGTTTATCCAACCATGCACTCTAATCCGGGGGCTAATGCGATTCTTACCTTCAGGAAGGGGGCTATAAAGTCATTGTTTATGGTCTCACTGAGACGATTGCTGAGCTCATTAGCATTCACTCGCGACATGATAAATCCTTTCTCAGAAGCTAATCGGATGAGGTCCTGGAGGTATGCCATCGCTGGCTTTATGTACTTAGCACTGTCTAGGTTCATGTTGAGATACTTTGTTGCTCCAGCATTCACCAATCTGTGGAACATTGGCATGCGCATGTGTTTATAACATGATGTTTACTAGAATAAATAGGGACGATAGAAAAGGAAGCGTCAATGCAATTAAAACGGAAGAAAAGAATGATGATGAAACAAAATCAATACCAACTTTTGAGGAGATGTTTAGATGCGAAAAGAAGCGAGTGCATACCTGACGGAATCAGGCGTTACAATTTGGTATAAAAATCACCATTGGAGTTGACAGACTTGTGGAATCACTATAAATTGAACAATTTAACTACCAATTTTAGATCATTAATAAATTTCTTAGGAAATTGATAAATATTTCGTTTTGAAACGAAACATTTCCTTGCGGATCTCATTTTCTGAACTGGATTTTCAATTGTTGCGAATCTTCTTTCGAATGCTGTCTATAGTCCATCGTTTGACGGATCTTATGAAGCTACTTAGATATTCTTTGATTCTTTTTGGAGATCTCAACCAAGACGCATTGTCCTTGTTACTGTCACAACGATTTTGTCCGTGTGTAATGTCAATCTTTCTCTGGGTACAATGATCTTTTAGCCCTTCACAGCAAGAATGAATGTCTGAATTGCACACACCTTTTGTAGACATTTTTCAGAAGCGTCCTATGCCACCTGAATCTATCGTGATCTATTGTAGCGGCCGCTTGATCAAGACTTTGAATGGTTAGATCATCACCATTCTCCCCGACCGGGAATCGAACCCGAAACCTCTCGCATGTGAGGCAACCCTCTTACTGCGCCAGGCCGTCGGGTTACACAAATTTTTTAATAGAGGAACAATTATTCCACAAACCTTGTTAAGCTTTCAGACGGCCGCGCAGGATCGAACAGAACAGACTTGGGAAACCCCTGAGACTTTAAGAAGCTGTTACCAACGAACTGAGCAGTGGTCAGATAACGCTGTTGAATCTTCGGATCCGAAATGTGTGAGATCCACTCAGCAACGAAATTCGTCAATGATCTGAGCCATCTGCGTCGTATACTGGGGTTCTCAAAGCTCTCCAGTATCTCTTCGTACTTGATCTGGCCAGTCTGGTCAGTCATTGAGCCGACGATGTGCGCTAAGCCGCTGTTTTTCCAGAGGGCCTGTCCGAGCTCCGAATTACTGCAACATTGTAAATCAAGTGAAACGATTTCTTTGACTTCACGATGTACTGAGGTGACACAAAAAAAAATGACTTTTGATCGGTAGAAAAAGTACTTGTATCCAGTATCAAGGGGTACCGTCGGTACTGGTGAGAAGTAATTTTTTTTTTTGGGTGGAGTGTAAACTCACATGAAGTGATCCCACATCACGTGGATATTCTCCAAAATCGGTGGCATGTACCAGGAATGACCGGAATGATCGTGGCTCCGGCCACTCTGAGAGCCCCCACCGTTGATATTATCCAAAATCATTGGGAGGAGGCCCATCAGCCCTCCCACATCGTTGTTGTTGTTATTGCTACCCATAAACATACTCGCGACATTGAGCATGCTCTCGAAATCAAAGCCCGAGCTTCTGGATTTCTGTTCGGCTTCGTGATCGGCTTTCTGACTACCGCCGGAGGCTGTTGCTACCATCTGCAGGAGTGGACCCAACATGGACAAGTCCATTCCGCCTTGGTCATTCGGTTTATTCTGACCGCCGGAAGCACTTGCCATGAGATTACCTAGGCCGGACAACACCTGACCTAAACCACTGCCTGCACCACCCTGTGTAACCAAAAAAATTATTCATTCAAATGGCATAAATAAGTTTGTTTAAATAGAATGACATGAAGTTTTTAATGAAATTAAACGTTTTTATTTAGTTGAGGTTTTGTTTATATTATAAGAATTTTTTTATTGAACAATTTTTTTTATTTTAATTGAAATACATTTTTTCTGCGAATTTGTAAAAATTTGTTTGATATACGAATAATTTGTTATCGCTCCGGGATTGAAATTGACTCAAAAAAATTGCAAGAGAAAAATTCAACAAATATTGGGGGCGAGGGGGAGACTGGAAGTGGTAAGTGAAACAGAATTTTGAATTTTTTTCAGAAAATGCATGAAAATGTGATTTTTTTAATGAAAAAAATCGTTAATTAAAATGAAGGAGTTCGTTATTTGATTTTAATAAATAATTTATTCGGAATAAATAATTTTTTATTTGACTCAAATGAACTCTATCAACTTCTCATTCATTCAACTTCTCTAATATGCGTTGTTTGACTTGCATACAATGTGCAGAAGAGTCCTCTTTAGTTGAGAACACTCGGCCATCGAGATAAGACTGTTAGAAAAATAATTATGCAAGTAAGGAGACCTTAATTTATAGCCTCTAAAGGTGTCATTCTTTCAAACCGAGGGAACTTTTTATCTGTTACGAGAAAAATATCTCGCAAATCGTTATTTATGTGGCAACAATCAATATTCTAATGCGCAGTTATTGTCGACGAACAGTTGGTGAAGTTTATTACGAAAAATTATTCTGCAAATGATAATGAAATGAAAATAGAAACACCGAAACATGAATAGAAAATATAGCTCCTGAAGGACCTGCCACGCAGTTAGCACGGGAATGTCAGCCCGCGAAGGGGTGAGGAATTGTATACTTGAACCAATTTCAAATAAATAGATCATACCGTGAATATCAATTATTTCTTCGTGAGGCACATTTACTTGAATCAAATAAAACAGTCCTTGACGTCAAGTCACACGTATTCACCACAAAAATGGAAAAGTTCAATTTTTTTAATCTAATATAATCTCCAGTGGAGAAATTTTCTACTTTCATGAATTGATCAAAAATTCGTAGCTAGGAGATGATTACATTGAGGAATGAATTGAATGTTGTTTTCTCGAATGAAGCCGATGTTTAAATTGAGCTTTCCGTACATCACATTGAACGAAATTTGTGATATCCAAGTTTGTGTTGAATTGCCGTAATCTGTGATTCTGTTATTGTAAACTAATGCGATTTTTTTAGTCAAGAAATATAAACTTTTTTCAACTCAACGACATCTTACTACGATCTCAAAGCTTTTTCCGCGTAACAATATTCATCCTGATTCGACATACGAAATGCTCACTTCAGTTATAATTTACTTGGAACAACGTATGATCGTGTTGATTGAGATAACAACGTATTTAGTCAAGAGCATAATTTTGATTTCTGAGTGAACCAACGAATTTCTGGAGTTGGCAAACTTTCGGCTAGAAAGAAATCAAATACTTTCATTATTGCAACAAATAAAAGGAACTTCAATGCTAGAGAAGTTCGATTTCTCCCAATCAAATGTATCTCAAGAGGAGATACNCTTGGAACAACGTATGATCGTGTTGATTGAGATAACAACGTATTTAGTCAAGAGCATAATTTTGATTTCTGAGTGAACCAACGAATTTCTGGAGTTGGCAAACTTTCGGCTAGAAAGAAATCAAATACTTTCATTATTGCAACAAATAAAAGGAACTTCAATGCTAGAGAAGTTCGATTTCTCCCAATCAAATGTATCTCAAGAGGAGATACCTGGTATTCACTATGAAATCATGTTTATTTGAAAATTAACAACCAAATGATAGTTGGTTCAAATGAAATTCTCTTGATGAAATTAATTTTTTCTGTCAGTGTGATACAACGGCTAAGGAAATAACCGATAGTACGAACGAAAGAGATAAGAGTAATGATCATAACATTCAGCTAAGTTGAAAACCTCACACAATTGTTCAGAAATAAATGTCATGCAATTTAATTACATAAAATAAACAATGAATTATTTACGATAGAAGGAAATAATGTGCAAATTCACCATTCGGCAGTATATTGCTGATTTCTTAGTAAAAATAACTGCACCATATGAGTATAAGAGCAATTTTCCACTTGTTTTCAATATTTGATCACTCACCCTTCTATCATCATCGCCATCAACGAATTTGTTCGCCCCCGAATCGTCCGAGAAGAAGCTATTCGCCGCCTCCATGAAAACACTGGATATGTCGACATCATCATCCTTTTCGCAGGTCACAGCTCCCAATACTGTGAGAACTATCACTATTTTCAGGAGGCGCATTTTACTATTCTGGAAAGTGAAAATTATTCATTCGAGTTATAGCTCTTCACTTGCTTATCAATTCAACATTTTTGTTAGCAATTTCTCACAATTTAAACCGACTTTCGAAGCAAGCAATAAATCCTGAGAATGGGCGAAATTTTCACCTATTTTAAGAGAATTTTCTCTTCACGTCAAGCAATAACAGTTTAATTCTCAGTTATTTTGATGGATAGAGAGTGTTTTTGTATCGCTCCCCCTCATTGTGCATAAAAAATCATTAGTTCGCCATTCGTTTGTTCTAAGAACACTGCTATCAACCTGAGTAACTGCAAGAATTTTCTTTTCTTTTAATTGATGGATAATCAATGAAAAGAAAGTGTCAAAGATTGTAATTATTTAAGATAATAGCAGTGCTTTCAGAATGAATAAACGACGAACTAACGTGTCCTTAGGAGGAACAAATAGAACAAATTCTGTTTTTATTTTTAATTATATTTAATTATATTTAATTTTCAACAGTGTCTCTTACATATAAGAAACACTGTTGAAAATTTTATACTCTTAACAATTTTTGTCTGAAATTTCCGGTCTACTTGTTGGAAATTTTTATCGAATTTAATCACCACTCGTCTCTACCAATCCTCGTCTCTATGCTGCTTAAAATTCTGGAATTTTACTGAATTTTCAGTGAAATCTGAAATTTTATGATTTCTTTCCTCTAAATCGCATTTAGTGTCACTGTCCTCAAAATGAATAGCCAACACGGAGAGAAATGTTCAATACAAATTACGGAACTCACAATTCGCTCACCGATTACGAAATCGACTCAGAAAATTTAGGTGACAGTATCCTAATTTTTCACAGGCGATTCAGATGAAAATTACGAAACGCTCTGGAAATATTCCGTGAGTTCCGTAAAATTTTCTACAACTACATTTGTAAAAATCAGGCCCGGTCGCGCGCTTCGCGCGCTCCCTCTTTAGGGTATGACCAGTAGGGGTTGGTGGAATTGGATGTGACCCATTACGGGTCGCACCANAAAAAAAAAAAGTCAAATCGCATCGTTTGTTCAGGAGGAATCGTGGCACAAAATTTTTGTCACAGACGTACGCACACACATACACACATCCACACATACAGACAGGTACCTGAAAAGGGTCAGAAGTGGTTCCAAAGGTCATGAAACGTGGAGAAATGCTTAAATTTCCACATTCGATTTTCGGGGTCATTACAATAACTTCCTCCCTTCGGGTCGGGAAGTTAATAATGTTGTAATTTTTATTGAATATTTCTCTCCGCGAAGTCCAAGTAGTCAACGATGTCGTGCAGAAATTTTGAGAAATTGTCCGTCTCAAATATATTCCTTTCGCACAGATGCCCTTTTATCTCAGTGCATTTAATCCTCGAATCTCCAAAAATCTTTAAAACTCCAGAGACCCGAAATTTCAAAGGACTCTTATTAGAAACTCCTCTGCCTTGACAATATCAGTTTCATGTTCGGCCCAACGATAGAGGAGAATGACTCGGCGCGTGTGAGTGGGAGCGACATACCGGAAACGTTTCGGCTCATGATCGTCCGAATACCGTTGCTCAAAAATATTCTCATACTTTATTCCCTTCCATTTATTTGCGCAGTCACAATAGTACGATTTGGTCATTTGTTTCGTTCAAAGCCAAATTACTTCGAGTCTCACTGAAACTTCCTGGAAGAGGAGACAGTCGATAACGGGAATATGTGCAGAAATTGTGGTGCAATATTTATTGCCATCTTCGAGGAATTACACAAGTGATTTGAGCTTCGAAGAAATTGCTCATTATTGCAGGCATCATTAGGGTGCCTAATAACGGTTCGAGCAATTACTTCGATTGATTTCGGTCATGGTTTTGTAGTTAAATTCAATCTTCTTCGGAACAATAATGAAATAATCCGTTTCTTCCTCATAAATTATGCAATTGGACAAACACTACCGTTTTAAGGGGAGATTACTGTGGATTTTTAAAGTCGCGGGCTATTGGAATGAGATTTCTCGTACTGTGAAGATCGATTATATATATATCTAGAAACGAATAATTAGTGCAAACGAATTAATTGTTTATGCTTCGTTTGCCCCGCAGATTCAAACAAATCGAAGAATTTTTCTTCAAAAATGAATGTATACATTGGATATCATAATAATTCAATAATGTTTAAAATTAAACTTATATATATGTATACACAATATATATAATATAATAATTTTTATTTTTTTTAAATATTTTATATGTTAAAAATTATTTATTTATTAAAAATTTATCTATATATAATTTTTAATATAAATCATTTTCAACATATTTAAAATAAGAAGAAATAACAATACAAAAAAAGTAAAAAACGTTACACTGGATTTGTTAAAAGTGGAAAATTGCACTATTGATGTCAAATAGCGCAAAAAATGTCTCTGAAAGAACTGACAATATATTTCAAATATTTTAAGAATAATTTTTCGGCTTTTTTTACACGAACAGCGCCATTTTTTATAACAAAATGAAATTAGCTGTGTAGGAGTCGAATTTCAAAAAACTAATTCGTAATTGTTATTGTACACATTTTTTCAAAAATTTTGAAAAAAAACCTGTAGCTCAAAAACTGGAGGCCCTGGACTATTTTCAACATTTTAAGCGTATGCGGGGTAAACGAACAATAAACAATCCATTTTTTTACCCTAATTATTTATTTTTAGACATACACGGAAAAAAATGTACTTGACTTGAGTATAAAATCTACTTGATTCAAGTATATTTTAGTTTATCAAAGTATCAAATATACTTAATATAAAGAGTTTTTATCAAGTATAAAATATACTTGAATCAAGTAGATTTTATACTCGAATCAAGTATATTATATACTTGATTCAAGTATATATTATTCTTGATTCAAGTATATTATTCTTGATTCCAGTATAAAATATACTTAAATCAAGTATATAATATACTAGATTCAAGTATATTGTATACTCAATTCAAGTAAAATTTTTTCCGTGTATATATCCAATTGCCAGCGACTTTTAAAATTCATAGTAAACCTCCCTCTAATAATTCCGATGAACACATTTACGGGGAACTATCGCATTTCACTAATACCGATGAGAGACGGCGCAGAAAATCCAACTGGACATGTAATGTTAGTACCGTAAATCGTATGAAATTGAAATTCTGGAGAGCAGCTATTCGGATTCGGCGTAACGGTACACAATGTTACTCATCGATCATTTCCAATGCGTAAACTAATTCGAGGGGAACATATTTCCCTGATTTGATAAAATAAGAAGGCATGGGATGCGAAAAAGTCAAATTTTTTATTGAAATTGAGAAAATATCAATTGAAAAATGGACTAGTATTTCGTATCAAGGACCATTCAACTCAGCATATTATCGATTTGCAATCGTACTACAAATTTTCGTTGAAAATTCACTGCAAACTGTTGATTTTCGCCGATTTTATTTAAAAAATCTGTAGCTCTCCCATCAATTTCTCTTAATTCAAATTTTTAATGGCAAAAATATCATAGAAAAAGTCAAATGAATTTGATTCTGTTACACGTACACTAATGCGTAAACTCATTCGAGTGGACAATATTTTCCGTATTTGATGGAATTATAAGACATGGGATGCGAAAAAGTCAAGTTTTTTATTGAAATTGATAAAATTTCAAATGCAAAGTGGGCTACGATGTTCAATGATTCAACAAAGATTCATTTATTATTCATTTGAAAACGTACTTGAACTTTTCATTGAAAATTCACTGTAAACTGTTATTTTTCATCGATTCTATTGAAACAATCTATAGCACTTTCGAAAAATTCTTTTAATAGAAACGGTCAATAGGAAATATTTTACAGACAAAGTCAACAGAATATTATTCTTCTATGCAACTTATTCCATTTAGATATTTTCTGTAGAAATTGGTTACCCTGAATTTTCTAACTTTTGTAGTCTCTTTTTTTTTAATGAGAAGAGAAGAAGCCACAGGCAAAAGAAACATAAAATTTATATAGACTCATTTTTTATGAACAATATCTTAATCTTAAACTCACTTGATTTGTCCATAAACAACAGTTTTTATTGAACATTTTCCGTTGAAAAACTACTATAATTAAGAAAAAAATCAATAGAATTTTCTAGCGAATGTGAATTCAATTTATTTGGTAAACAACATTTTTTCATTATCAATTAATTTCCATTCATTTATGTTGAAATTTCGTGGTGTGCGACAACCTTCACATCGACAAAATTATTTCCTTCAGAACATTCTTTTCCCCTTTTACATCGAACAGAAATGCTGCTCATAAAAGAAAAACCGTTCAACTCCTCCAAAAAAATCCCTCCCAATGACGATATGCCCAAGGCCAAGTGTAAAGGCCACTGGCCGATAAATAGCCGGCAAGTAGATGAAAATTCCGTAAATATATCGTCATAAAAAATGATCAATTTTACCCTATTTGCATTATCAACAGGAGCGTCGATGACGAATTTCGCTAACAAACGCATAGCAGGTATGTTATCAAATAATGTAAAGATAAGCTCGAGCCTTGACGAATAATTACAATAGCTTGTGCCTCACAACTAGACCTGCACTTGCAGAAACTAGGACTTGAAATATTTTCACTTTTCACTGGGAAATACACCATCGAGGGACAGAGAAAATGACACCTGGAAAGCTCGTTGCAGTTTCATTTTCTAACGAGAGAATTCTTGAAATCAGAATAAAAGATTACCTAATCCTTCTCAATCACCGTCCGCGCAATTTCGCAGTAAATTCACATGGGAATAATTTTGAAATACAGTGGAAATACTGAGAAGAATAGTTTACCTTAACAGAGAAAAATTAATCCTGCACTTGGCTGCACGGAGATTCTTGATACAGATGAATGTACGTTTTAATAATATTCCACAAACGCCAGAGTTCATGCACCTGACGCTGCTGACGCTGTGGCCTGACTGGCGTTGAACGTAGTCCAGCCAACGGTACTTCCCTACCTGAGACAGGCCCGAGGACTCGTATTAAGCCAGTAATACAATGGAACGTACTCAAAGCCTGTAGGCTGACCACAAAACCGGTAGATTACCAACGAAACGCGTGGAGGCATGCCGATACTGTATATAAATGTTGATGCGCATGTTAGCTATGCTGTGTCACTTGATCTAGTTTAAACAGAAGTTACTGGTTGTTATCGGATAGGCATGAATAAACACTTTGGCTGATGGTTGTTTTTATGGTGATAATTTTCGCCGAAAAAAACTAATTTCAATTTGAGAAATTACGGTCTCAGAATGAGACTTCGGAAGTCTCGAGTTAAGACTTTGGATGTCTCCTGTTAAGACTTTTGAATCTGTCAAATTCAGACTTGAAAATCTTGATTTAAAACCTTTGAAAGTTTCAAGTTGAAGCTTTCAGAATTTTCGCCGAAAAAAACTAATTTCAATTTGAGAAATTACGGTCTCAGAATGAGACTTCGGAAGTCTCGAGTTAAGACTTTGGATGTCTCCTGTTAAGACTTTTGAATCTGTCAAATTCAGACTTGAAAATCTTGATTTAAAACCTTTGAAAGTTTCAAGTTGAAGCTTTCAGAATTTTCGCCGAAAAAAACTAATTTCAATTTGAGAAATTACGGTCTCAGAATGAGACTTCGGAAGTCTCGAGTTAAGACTTTGGATGTCTCCTGTTAAGACTTTTGAATCTGTCAAATTCAGACTTGAAAATCTTGATTTAAAACCTTTGAAAGTTTCAAGTTGAAGCTTTCAGAATTTTCGCCGAAAAAAACTAATTTCAATTTGAGAAATTACGGTCTCAGAATGAGACTTCGGAAGTCTCGAGTTAAGACTTTGGATGTCTCCTGTTAAGACTTTTGAATCTGTCAAATTCAGACTTGAAAATCTTGATTTAAAACCTTTGAAAGTTTCAAGTTGAAGCTTTCAGAATTTTCGCCGAAAAAAACTAATTTCAATTTGAGAAATTACGGTCTCAGAATGAGACTTCGGAAGTCTCGAGTTAAGACTTTGGATGTCTCCTGTTAAGACTTTTGAATCTGTCAATTTCAGACTTGAAAATCTTGATTTAAAACCTTTGAAAGTTTCAAGTTGAAGCTTTCAGAATTTTCGCCGAAAAAAACTAATTTCAATTTGAGAAATTACGGTCTCAGAATGAGACTTCGGAAGTCTCGAGTTAAGACTTTGGATGTCTCCTGTTAAGACTTTTGAATCTGTCAATTTCAGACTTGAAAATCTTGATTTAAAACCTTTGAAAGTTTCAAGTTAAAGCTTTCAGAATTGTCGCCGAAAAAAAATAATTTCCATTTAAGACTTGCAGTCTCCAAATGAGACTTATGGAAGTCTCGAGTTAAGACTTTGGATGTCTCCTGTTGAGACTTTCGAATGTGTCAATTTCAGACTTGAAAATCTGAATTGCAAACCTTTGAACGTCTCAAGTTAAGGCTTTCAGAACTTTCGCCGGAAAACAAAATAATTTCGATTGACGACTTAAAATGAGACTATGGAAGTCTCGAGTTTAGGCTTTGGATGTTTCCTATTAAGACTTCGGAATGTCTTACTTTCAGACTTGAAAATCTTAATTTAAAACCTTTGAAAGTCTCAAATTAAGACTTTCACAATTTTCGCCGGAAACAAATTAATTTCAGTTGAAGACTTACGGTCTTAAAATGAGACTTCTGAAAGTCTCGAGTTGAGACCTTCGAATATCTCCAGTTGAAGACATTCAAATGTGTCGGCTTCAGTCTTGAAAATCTCAATTTAAGCCCCTTGAAAGTCTCAAATTGAGATTTGAAAGTCTCGAGTCAAGCTTTTCAGAAGGATTAAATGGACATTCCCAAGTCTCAAATTGTTGATGCGCATATTACCCATGTTATGACTCTTGATCTAGTTTAACTAGCAGTAAATGTTTGTTATCACATATGCATGAATAAGTACTTTGGTCGATGGTTGTTTTAAAGATGATAATTTCCAAAATGGGAGTCTCAAGTTAAGACTTTCGAATGTCTCAATTCAAGACGTCAAAGTCTCAGTACTTTGAAAGTCTCGTGCGGAGATGTGCAAGTCTCAAGTTAAGACTTTCAGAAAGATCAAATGACGCCTCAAAAAGCTTTTTCAAACCTCAAGCCGTAACTGTCGAAAAGACTGATAAATTCGCGTGAATTTCCCGAAAAACCGAGCAACACGTATGCAAACACGAACGGAAAGCCTCTCGAGCCGAAAGTATTATTACTGGTTTCTATCAGAAACCATTGGTGGTCTACGCATTTTTCTATTCCAAACACGGAAGCCTGCAATTTGCGACGTACCCATTGTCTGGCGAACGCCCGTGTACGATTACTTCGAACGTAGACACAAATTACAAGTTATTGATAAGTGATGGGTTCCGGCCATGTCTCATCTATCTTGCAAATCCATTCGGTGAGCAGTATTTTACTCTGGGAGAATAGACCACCTGGTGCATTTACCGAAAAATTATGCGGAATGTTTTTCCGTGCATTTTCTTGCAGTCGAATGCGATGGAGCTGCAAGACTGGACATTTGGCACGAGTTACGAGTTGCTGGTGTACAAACTCATCATGTGGCCGTTGGGAATTTGGCCTCTCAATAAAGGCGAAATATTTTCCGAGATTCGACTGCTTCTTGCTGCATCGACTCAGGTGCATTCGCAAATCACTAGTATTTTTGCTGAAATTTAAGCTTTAACTTCTCGTTGCGACGCAAACTCCTGTAATTTTCATTGAAAGTTCAATGGCAGTTATCATTTTTCATAAAGTGTAGGGTCAAGAACATTTTGGTTCACATAGCTATTTAATTTAATTAACCAGAAAATTTTTCAAGATTGTAAAGAAAATTCAACTGGACTGAAAATGTAAGTTTACTTCGCTGCGGTCAGGTTGATCGAACCTTTTTGTTAGATTTCATGACAAGAACACGTTGGAAAATCTACGGACCAACAAGCCTTCACACGCTAATAGACAGGATCAGTTATTGTTAACAAATGGATTTGGCTGAAGGGTAGGATTTATTTGGTCTCACCAAATATTCACTCGTTAATAGTAAACGAATATTTGAGAAGTCTTGTTTGACTCGACTTTCAGCTTTCAAGTGAACCATTCGTTAACTATTAACGAATATTTATTCGGTCATATTCAACTTTACCATTCGTTAATAGTTGACGAACCTCGTTTGGAATAAATGAATCATTCTATCAGTGCAGCCACCGCACTGCCTTTTCTCCATTTCTCACAATCATAATCGCTTTTCGACTTGCGCCAAAAGCAAAAGCGTCTATTCAGCCATGAACATCTTGACTAGCAGAAGTCAGTAACTACGACGAGCATAAATTCAACTTTCAAAATCCCAACACAAAAGTTATTTCACATTGAAGGTTTCAAAATGAAATCTAATCATATTTTTTCGCGGACATAATTAATATGGGTTAATAAAACAAATCACATCTGTTTTTCTCATGCAGATGATGAATTGAAAATGTAATCGACATGTGATAAATAATGTGCAAATATCAAACAAGAAAAATATAACCGAAAATTCAACTGAATCAAAATCAGTGTCTCAAGTTGCGCAATTGCTAAAAATTTTCTTCATTAATCAAATTCATTAAGATTTGACGAATTTTAGGATAAACAGTTACTAAATCCAACTTTCAAAATCCCAACACAAAAATTATTTCACATTGAAGGTTTCAAAATGAAATTTAATCATGTCATTACAAGGACATAATCAATGAAAAATGGTTTAATGAAACAAATCACATCTGTTTTTCTCATGCAGATGATGAATTGAAAATGTAATCGAAATGTGATAAATAATGTGCAAATATCAAACAAGAAAAATATAACCGTAAATTCAACTGAATCAAAATCAGTGTCTCAAGTTGCGCAATTGCTAAAAATTTTCTTCATTAATCAAATTCATTAAGATTTGCCGAATTTTAGGATAAACAGTTACCGGAAGTCTTTCTTCCAGGCTGCCACATTCATCTGTTTGAGCCTAGAAATATGGAATAATTGTCGAGGAGTCGAAATAGTACTGGACCTTTTCGTATTGAGTGTCTTTTCACTGCTCGCCTGCATCAAAGGACTGATAGTGCATCATCACATCAGCGATATGAACGAGAGCGTAACTTCTGCCATTATGGATTGGTGTTCACTATCGCGAAGTGAAAACCCCCAGAATCGCGAGTTGATGATGAAATACGCCCGAATAGGTCGGATAGTATGTTTCTCCCTGATGATTCCAGCCTCCAGTGGAACTTTGTCATGGATAATACTCGCTCTACCCCTCCCCATGTTCACTCCGCCAAACAGCTCCGATGTAATCAAGAACTTTCCACTTCAAACTGCATGCACATTCGAGCCCATTACAACTTCCAGATTTTACTACATTATTTTTGTCCTTCAAATGTACCAATTGGTAACCACTTGTCTTGGAAACTGCGGCAATGATGTCTTCTTCTTCGGACTGTCGATGCACACTTGCGGGCAGTTGGAAATACTACAAAACGATTTTACAAGTATTAAAATTAGGGAGCAAGAACCTGATAATTCGAAAAAATTGAGGTGCATGGTGGATAGACATGTGCATCTCATCGAACTGGTTGAGAAATTGGAAAGCACATTCAGTATGATCATTCTGGCGCAGTTGATAATGAGTGCTGTGCTGATCTGCATCATGGGTGAGCCTTACTTTGAAAGATACTTCCATCAATTGAAGAATTCAGTTGAAAATGATGGACGATTTTATTCGTCATTTCTTCTACTTCATCACTTCTAGGTCTGCAGGTAATAATAGCATTGAAAACCGATGACATGTTTGCAGCGATCAAAGCCAACATAGTACTTTCCTCCCTGATGTCACAATTGTTCCTATACAGCTACGGCGGGGATTGTTTGACAACTCAAAATACATCAGTGGTGCATGCTGTCTATAAAAGTTCATGGTATGAGACTTCATCGATGATGAGGAAAAACATTGCTTTTATTATGATGCGGGCTAATAAGCCAATATACGTCACAGCTGGGAATTTTTTTTACATGACATTGAGCACATTCATGGATATTTTGAAAGCTTCCGTTTCGTACATGTCGGTTCTTCGAATAGCAATTGATGTGTAATGTATGCGATATGTTTGACTGTATAATTTGTACTTACTGTTGTTTAATGAAGCCAAATAAATGTGGAAACAAGGGAACTTTCAGATTTTATTACATTTGGTTGTTTTGGAAATGAACAAATTGGTAACCACTTGTCCTGGAAACGGTGGCAATGATGTCTTCTTGTTCAAATTTCTATTCAACCGTTTCACTACATGACCAAATCCATACGATACATTCCTTCTTTCTATCGAAAAATACCTGTGATTTCAGTGAAAATGAAAAACTAAGGATCTATTCTTATTCTCAACCCTAATCATGCGTGACTGAGAAGAACCAGCCCTTCTGTCATTTTCTTCCAGACGTACTTCAACGAAAACTCTTCTATTAAAAAAAGAGGTAATTTGACATGAACGTCATGCATTCATTAACATAATACATTCATTGAAAATATATTGAAGAATAAATTAACATTATTCTTTCATCTGAGCACGAAAAGAAATAGCTGGAAATCATGCATAAGAAATGATAATCGTCATATGCTCGCGTTTTCGTGCATATGTAATGTTTAATATGATAATTCAAGGTAAAACGTAAATTATTGGATCGATTCGAGACCGTATCGGGTTTTCGCGGAAGGGTTATTTCTTGGTGATCGAGGAAGGGGTGCGGCGTTTACCAAATGTACCATGCGCGACGACAGCTCGAGACAGTCCACGAGAAATCTATTCTTCCTCTACTCATACGTACTGACGATTTATGGCGCTTGGCCGTTGTCGGACGATACTCTCTTCTTGAAATGTAGAGTGACATTCGCTGCTTGTCAGATGGTTCGTAATTTTCAGAAATCAATTCTTCATAAATACACTGACGGAAAAATTTTCTAATATGTAGACCACATGGAGAGAAATATTCAGTAAAAATTACGGAGCAATTCACGTAATCCGCAAAGGGGAATCGTTTTACGGCAATTTTTATATGAATGGAAGACAAGAAATCTGAAACGTTCAGTGAATTTTCTTCAGAGAAGTAAATTATTTTCAATGGTTTAAGTCTCAGAATGTTTGCGGTTCACGGAACTCGAATGAATTCGAATTTATCACTATCGTTGCACATTATATCACGAACATATTACATATCGAAATATTGCAACTGCATAACAAAAAATCATGAAAACAATAAGCAACGTTGGCGCAACGTTGGCGCAATGTTGGCGCAATATTGGTGCAACGTTGGTGCATGGTTTTTTGGTTATAATTCCAAAACTGATAATGGCATTGACACCATGTTCGAGCTCGATCGGGATAACATGAATGAGAATATTTCTAGTGCGAATTCAATCGATTTGGACAATTGTTTTTAGTTATCCTGGCAAGACTGAATCGGTCACACCCACAAATATATATATACATATGGACGTGCTCTAAAAACATCATATTCTGATTCCTGACCCCCGAATTAGTCATCCAAACACAAATAGAAAATTTAATTTTGAGGAAAATTAAATCCAAACACATAATTTAATTTTGAGGAATGCAATGCTTCCATTCGGAAGCAAAAATTATGAAAACAATATATACTTGAAGATTGACGATTCATCTACGCGCTTTGAGTGAGTTCATTTGCGATAAAATCATACTTGAGTACCAGAATATTTTAAAACCGACGTCGGTGGCCGAGTGGATTAGACGCAAGTCTAGTGTGCGAAAGGTTGTGAGTTCGATTCCCCGTGGAACCGAATTTTTCAACGGAAGGCTCCGGCGAGCGGGAGGTTGCTAATAGAGGAACCGCCTGTACCGGCATGGGTTTTCTGTGGTTTNAAAAAAAAAAAAAAAAAAAAAAAAAAAAAAAAAAAAAAAAAAAAAAAAAAAAAAAAAAAAAAAAAAAAAAAAAAAAAAAAAAAAAAAAAAAAAAAAAAAAAAAAAAAAAAAAAAAAAAAAAAAAAAAAAAAAAAAAAAAAAAAAAAAAAAAAAAAAAAAAAAAAAAAAAAAAAAAAAAAAAAAAAAAAAAAAAAAAAAAAAAAAAAAAAAAAAAAAAAAAAAAAAAAAAAAAAAAAAAAAAAAAAAAAAAAATATTTTAAACCCGGAGACCTTTCTCGGGCCAAGTGAGTTGAGATGCCTGGGAGGATTAACCGATTGAGAAAAAATTACTTGTTTCAAGAAAATATGTTTCGGATATTAGAATTTTTTTTCTCAGTGTATCTTTTCTATTTTACAGATATACTTGACAGCAATTTGTATAATAAAATTAATCATACAATGTGGAAGCTCGGAAGATATCATTGACGCATTTCTATTGCTCGTCGTGTGCATCCTCGTATGTTCTAAAAGCATTCTATTGTATGTACATCGGGATAAATTAGCGTCGGTGGTTCTTTCGTCCGTGGAAGACTGGAATACTACGGAAAGTGAGCACTACAGAAAAATGATGTCAGAGCGCGCTAATTTCTGTAATATAGTGACAAAATTGTTTTACTCCATGGGTATGTTTGTCCTCTTTATTTATATTCTCAAAGTTATGGTGTTGGATGTGATATATGTGATGGATGAGGATTCCGTGAATGGTACGCTTATATTACAAAAAAATTATTTACTCCCCGGCGGATGCGTATTCGATGGCTTTGGAAATGTCGTGTTCTACTTCGTTGTGATTAATCAGGCGGTTCAGCTGAGCATCTCTTGCAGCATAAATCTTGGTGGAGATGCCTTGTACGTGGCTCTCACTCTGCACCTGTGCGAGCAGTGTGAGATAATGAAATTGAGGTTTGAAAAATTTGGACGGTCTGATTCGTTGGAGAAGAACCGTAAACATCTGAATGCTCTCATTGCGAGGCATCAGGATTTGATGACAAGAGCCGAGACGCTGGAAGATGTCTACAATCAAATCATTCTGATGCAGATGCTCATGAGCGTTTTACTGATAAGTGTTGGAGGTATTTTCATTGATCTAGCTTTCATTGTCAAGTTATGTATTTGGTACTCTCTTATCGTAGGATTTAGCTTCTTGATTAGCCTCAATGGTGGGGACGTTATTGGTGCAGCGAAGAACATCTGCGTGATGCAATTTATGCTGGCACAGAGCTACATCTACACATTTCCAGCGGACGATTTGAAGGAACAAGCTGAGGGATTGCTGCGTGCATTGTACTCGAGTCAGTGGTGTGATATGCCGGCGAACATCATGAAAGACATTGTCTTCATGATGATGAGAATCAATGTGCCTCCGTACTACACAGCGGGAAAGTTTTTCTATATGACGAGGCAATCTTACATGACTGTCGTGAAAACAGCAGCGTCTTATCTGTCTGTCCTGCGGATAATGATCAAATGAATGTTATTGACATGCTCTTCATCAACTTTAAGTCTCGTTAATAAAGAATCTTCCTACTGAACAGCGGAATCATTGAAGATCGATTTGTATGTGCATGTGATTATTTGTATTTGCGTGTGGTAAATGGGGTGAATTGAATCATTAATTATATTTGATGGAAATTGAAGTGGGGAACCGAGCGCTGTGGGAGAAAGCAAATAGGGCGGATGTGGAAGATTCGTGGAAAATCACGAAATCATTTTTTTTCAGCGCCATTTAGAAGAGATGCTCATTAAGAAGAGTATGGAATGACTGTATAAAATTCATATTTTGTGATTAATTTCCCAGCTTGATTTGGTGAGAAGTTATTCATATATTGAGTCAAATGACTGGAGTTGATCTGAGCGGTGTACAGTATTGCAGCGGCAGCAGCGCCAGTTCATCGGACTGAAAGTAGAACTGTGAAGTATGACATTGATGTTTTGATAACCTGGAATTAATTGTTATGAGATTATTTCGACATCATGCAGGGAAGACAGAAATTCCTCACCCTGGCGAAGCTCTGCAAAGACATCACGTACAATTTGCCAGCTGTTAGGATAGAAGGATTTCGGCTCCTCATCATTATCAGGATCAGCATTTTCTTAGATCTCATCGGAATGTTGTACCAATATCCCTGATAGCTGATCGGGTAAAATAGAGTCTTTAATACAGTACGATGTTATTAGTGAGTTTAACTTGTTCGGTACTCACGCAAATGAATGAATTCGACTGCTGTGATCCATCAACTTTTGAGCGGGTCGGCTGAGGAAGAATAAATGAACTATCTGACCGATCGAGAATGTCCCGTATCGTATAATTTCGCTCGTTTCGCCGAGATTTTGGACAACCTAAGGACGTAATGATCAATTTTTGGTAGTTACATTTTACTGTAGCCTGAGAAGAAAATTTGAGAAGACTTCCAGAAAGAATTAATTCCAGGTAGGAAGTATAATGAGCCAGACTTTTTCTCATATTCCAATGCTGATGAGCATTAGTGGGTTTTGGTAAATATGCAAAGTCATCGCGGTATTATATTTTATACTTGAATAGGGGATGGGTCTTTCAATCCGAGGATGATTATTTCGTATCGGCCCGGATTGTACGAATCGCTCTCAAGTGTAATATAAAGGTTAGACACTAAGTGTGAGAATATAAGGGCCAACAAATGGAGGTTAAAAAATGAGGGTCAGAATATTAGAGTCAAAAACCGAGGGCCTGAATATAAAGGTGAAGGATGAGGGTCAAAATGTTGGGGTTTAAAAAAAGAGGGTCAGAATATTAGGATCAAAAAATTAGGATCAGAATATAAAAGTAAAAAAGTGGGTTTTAGGCAATGAGGGTCATATAAGGTCTAAAATGGTGATAAGGCATAATATATAACTTGTATTTAGACCCTCATTGTCTGACACTCAATTTTTAATTTTATATTCTGACCTTAATGTTTTGACGCTAATATTCTGACGCTCATTTTTTAACCTCTACTGTTTGACCCTTATATTCTGACACTTAGTGTCTGACCCTTATATTACACTTACAAGGGCTTGCTTCAACCCGGCCTGATACAAAACAATAATCTTTAAATTGAAATACCCCTCCCCCAATTAAGTATAAAATATACTAGATTCAAGTATATTTTATACTTTTTTTCGTGTAGTCCTAACAAGACATATTTGTTTACGTAGAAATCGGGAGAACCGTTTCGTCTTCCTCACAAGAAAAACAAACCTGATAAAGAGTGATACTCAGCGCCACAGTATTTATAACCACAATGCTCAAGAAACATATGCTGTATGTCAATCGAAGCAGGTGAGCAAATCTACAAACCAATTTGATCGGAAAATAACTCAATTATTGTTCTTATCACGCTTCTTCACGAACCCGAGTCGAGGATTTGGTTCTGATTGGACGTACACAGGTCTTTCAAGATCTCTCCAGACCTAGATGGACCTGGTAAGTCCTAATCAGTTCTGCGACGTACTTTTCCAGAGACCATTCGAATCCTCAGTTCTTTTCGGTCCTGAGAAGTCCTCCTCGATGCTACCGAGAACGCGT